GTACCTCAGCACTTAAAAGGAGCCAAAAGGGTAGGTCAATGGGGGGGGGGTACCATATATATATATATTCATATATATATATTTATATTTATATAGTAGTTTCCATTTCTTTTCCATTATCTCAACATAACCCCAATATCTACCCTATAATCCCTATACATTCCCAGCCAACCCATTATAGGGATAGCATAGGATCCCACTACGAGTGGTATGCTCAGGGGAACCTCGGAGACTCAGGATGCACGCAGGTGGATGACTTGCAAGCTCAAGCTCTGTTGCATGTGGTTCTATATGTTATTGTAAGGAGTCTAATAGGGAGTATAGGGGCAGTGGAAAAACAGGATGGAAGCTACTATTTGGGGGTTTAGGCGTCATCTTGACGAACGCTCCAGCAATCGAAAGCAAGAAGACATGTTCTGGCATTTTTCAGAAGTGTTCAAGAGCATTCATTTTCGAAGGTGCATCAGAGAGCAAGTCGAAGAAGGCCGAGACCAGTCACGCCGAGACTGACAACGCAGAGACCAGCGAAGCCCGGAACGGCAATGCTGAGACAGGCAATGGCAACTCCGATGCCAAGAAGGACGATGAGGAGCTCGTCTTGCAGCAGTTAGCGCCACCCTGACGCATCACATGTGGATTCGATAATGCAGGGGGGTTGCAGGCGCCCGTTGGAGATGTGCAGTACGAGTAGGAATGTTTCCCCTCGCTGCAGTTGGTGTTCTGTAGCAGCTGCCATAGTCACCTTGGCATGCAGCGCCAGATAGTGCGAGCCTGGTCTAGACAATAAGTGGTCTGGATCCGTGTGGCCTCTCTCTGCCATGTCAGGAGGACTCTGACGATGCATGGGGCGACTGGACAAAGAAAGGCGCGCACTGCACTTGCACCAGAAGATATGGGCGACGCTAAATCATGCTAAGCTGCCGTGATCAGGATACCGCTGAATTGAGGCAAGCATTTAAAAAAGTGCTGCGGCCCATGAGTAGCCAACTATTCAGATTTGGTTTTGTTTGAGCCAAGACTGTTCCTGCATGGCTCTTTGGGGGCTGACTTATGACAGGATTGCGTGTCTGGGCCCACATGGGTATTGCCCTGCAAATCAAAGATTCCCCTCTTCAATAATAGATCTTATATATTTTTTTGGGATGGGTGACTGTGGGCCCCACCTATTCCCCCCCAACCCCACCCCCGGATTAAAAAGGGTTGATATGGTATTTTCTCAAAATGATGGGACCCCAATATAACCCCCAAATACTATAATCCTTATTATAGGGACCCCCAAAATGGTACCCCTAATTTTGGGAAACCCCCATATAGAAGTATGGTTCGTATTTTCGACAAGCCTAAACCCTAAACCCTAAACCCTAAGCTGCATGGCAAGTCATTACAAACGGCGAAATTCACGCTCACCAGCCGCTTACAATCTCTGGCAGCCGGGCTTCTGGACTCCGACATTGCAAGAGACACTGCATCCACTAGGGTTATATTAGGGTTATATTGGGGGTTATATTGGGGTTATATTGGGGGTTATATTGGGGTTATATTGGGGGGGGTTATATTAGGGTTATATTGGGGGTGATATTGGGCTAATGGAAAAGAAAATGGAAACTACTATTTAGTGTTTGTTCAGGGTTTAAA